TTGGGGGATTTTTTTTCAACTACCTAAAAAGTGGGTTAAAAGTAATGTATGTCCTGTGTATACATCTTTTTCCAGTACAGCTTAGGCATTTAGAGTATTTGCAGGCACTCTAAGACAAACAAAAATCAAAACTAGTATGTAATACCCTTTTATACACATGCCCTTTTTTTTTCACAGTGTCCAATTTTGATATTCTTTTAAGTAACTTGAAGGAGATACTCCATATGTCGGAAGTGACCCAAATGCATCCAAGCCATTTGCTAGTGAATCTGGCCTCTGTATTGCTTGGACTTGCTCCAGGCCTCCTTAATCACTTCCTGGAGGTGGGTGGGAGCTAATTGGCCCATCTTTGATTGTTCTTGAGGCCAGTTTACATTGCCTTAGGGCAACAGCTCTTCTCCCAGGAGAAAGTATTTGATGTAAGAGACAAAGAACAAAAAGTAAAAATAACCAGTCAGAAGCTTTTCCTTAAAACATTGTCAGAATTCTGAAATTTCTCAGACCCAGTTTGCTCTTTATTATAAAAGATGCTTCCTTGTTCAGAGAGAAGGTATGTACAAAAAGGAAACCATTTCTAATGATTCTTAAAAGATTCTATTTTATAAATGTTTAGGCAACTTTTTTTTTTAAAGATTTTATTGGGGAATTGGGAGAGGGGAACAGTGTTGGGGAATCGGGGAAGGGGAACAGACAAGTTGCTGTCCTTGTTGTTCTTCAGTTAGTTGTGGACGACGTTGCTTCACTGGCCCATGTTGGTATTATCATTGTGCTCTTCCTGGGTGAGGCAGTCACTCACCTGCCATTGGGTGGCCGCTCACTGCGGCTCACGAAAGCTCATGCCTGCTGCCAGCCAGCCCCACTGCAGCCTACGCCATCACCAGCAACTCACAGCAGTCCAGCTCTAGGTCGAGCTGTTGTTCACCAACTTAGCTGTAGAGGGCGCAGCGACACTGGCCCTCATGTGGGATCCAAACTGCGGCCCTGCTGCTCAGAGCTGGCATCCCAAGCCAAACTCCTCACCAACACGCCACTCGCTGGTCCAACTTTTTTTTTTTTTAATTGAGTATTTCTGTGGGGCTAGCATGAGAATGATTGAGATGGGGTCTGTACATGAGCTATAGAGAGGCTGCAGCACCCTCCTAAGTGAGTAGTGTTTTGGTAAATATTTAACTAACTGATTCTTTAAAAAGTAGGGACAGGGCCTGACTTAACGGTAGGATTTGCCTATTTGTGTAAATGCTCCCAGCATAGCCAATCTCAGATTATCAATGGGATGACAGTGCAGAGTGGGGAAAAGCTGCTCAAGAGCACCCCATTATACAAGGATGTATTTTTCTACCATACAGATACAATACGTGTAAATAATCTAAAAGCATAGGTAATAGTAAAATGTAAAATAGAGAGCCTTGAGTTTCTAGTTTTAGTATTATCGTTTTTCATATTACATAGTTCATTATACGTAGTTCATGTAATCTAATATTTATTGATGGCTGTGTTTAACAGCTGGCTCGTGCTGTTGCTTAACAGTTCGTTGGCTTGCCTAGTCCAGCACATCACTGATCTTGATCTTTCAGAGTTGCTTTTGAGTTTGCTCTTTCCTGAAATTCAAGATACTGATCAAGAAGCACAGGGATTGGTCCAGGAAAGCACTAGGTAATCCTTAGTCCTGGGCTGGTTTCGGTTTTTATCTGAAGACTGAGCATAACTTGGAGTAGAACTAGAGTCAAATTACTAGTGATCCAGGATCAAATTTGGTTCAGTCAATAATGTTATGATTGATACTTTCAGTATCTTTTCAATGAATTATGACATTTAAAAGTATTTGAGAGCTGATATCTGTCTTACCAACCTTCGCATGTAGTTATTTTTAAAATCTCACTATCCTGTTTTTGAATGATTCTAGGAAAGAGATTTTATAGTCTCCTGGTAAGTTTCATAGTTGTGCAGGGCCAGATAAATCACTGAAATGTCCCTTCTGAGGTTGGGCCAGGACCACAGCAATTCATAAGAATGAATTGGAATGACTTTTTCCTCTGATATTTGCCACATCATTAGTCTAATGGGATTATAAAGTTCTTGGCCTGTCTCAGAAGTATATGCTATTATCCCTAACTTTATCAAACATGATTCTCTTCAAGGGATTAGAAAAGGAAATAAGTATATCTGGCAGCCAAGAAGCAAGAACCACCCTAATAACTCTTGAGCAGAAAAGTCTAAATTATAAACCTAATAACACTGTCTTTTGAAAACATAATTGGAGTAAAATAGAAAACATTTTTCAGCTAATATGGCACCATTTGGTAAGAGCAGTTAAAATGTGACAGATGGTGGGAAAGTGACTTAAAATTGTGCATAAACCCCCTTTCAATATATGCTTCCTAAATATATAACAGGAAGAAAACGTACTGCATTATGAAATGGCCAATTGCTAGTGAATTTATATATATTGTATTTAGCCCAGCTGGATTTTAAAAAAACCCACAATAGGGCCGGCCGAGTGGCTCAGTTGGTTAAGAGCGCGCTCAAGAATTTGAGCTTTGAGTAACAGCGGTTCAAGTCCAGCCTGAGCTGAGCTGCTACTGAGCTGCCAACAGGTGGCAGGATGGCTCAGCTAAAAATAATAATAATAAAAAAAAAAAAATAAACCACAATTATTTGTGATGGATAGAGGTCAGGTAATGTGGCTGTCTTTGGAAGTACTTGTTGAATCTGAAGGCTAATTTCTGTTTACCAAGATTGGCAAGCTATCCTCTGAGAGCAAACCCAAGGCCTGTTTTTTACAGCCCTTGAGCTAAGAATGTCTTTACTTTTTTTTAATGGTATAAAAATAGACAGGAATATTGCAGCAGTGGCTATATGTAGCCTGCAAAGCCTAAAATATTTCTATCTGACCCTGTATAGAAAAAGTTTGTCAACCTCCAAAATATCAAAAACTGACAGCCTGTGGCCTGGATCTAACCTACAAGGTATATTTTATTTTGCCCGAACTATTTTGTTTTTAATTTAAATTTGTTGCAACATACTCATGTAAAATGTCACATGCAAATTGAGATTTTTCAGCTTCTTTTGGAAACCAGATGATTTATCAAGCAGAAGTACTCATTTCACAGGGCAGCAAATCAACTAGAGGTGAGTAGGGCTGGCTCAGTGGTAGTGGTTTCATTTCTTAGAGGAATGCCAGCATATAGCTTTTTTCTTTAAGTCCCACTTTAGTTCCAAGTCGACAAACTGACTTGAAATCAAACATTAATTTCAACTTTTCAAATTCCTCCAAAGAAAAAAAAAATCCTGGTGTTATTTTTTTAAAACTGAGATTGAATTAAATTTTTAAAATTAACAGGGAGAACTGATAGCTTGATAATGATGACACATCCTGTTCGAGAACAAGAGATGTCTTTCCTTTACTCAAGCATACTTTTAAGTTTTTTCCAGTAGCTTTATGGTTTTCTTCACATAGAATTTTCATATTTTTTAAGTATTTTATCTTTTTTGTTGCCATTGTAAATGGAGTTTTGTCTTCCATCTTATTTTTTAACTCATTATTTATGTATTTGAAAGCCATTGGTTTTTTCATATTAATGTTATATTCTATCTTTTTTTGTTTTGAGTTTGTTTCATAATTCATTCTCTGAAGTTTTTCAGGTATCCTATCATATCATAAACATAGTTTTCATTATTTTCTAATTCTTAGGCTCCTCATTGTTTTTATTTTATTGCATTGGTTAATACCACTTATAAAACTGTAGTAGAGATAGAGACATCTTTGTCTTGTTTCTGACATTAGGGATGAATGCCTTTAGTATTTCTGCATTCACTAAAATGCTGGCTTTTTATAACATAATTTATAATGTTAACGAAGTATTCATCTAGTTCTATTTTCTGTATTTGTATAAGGAATGGTTGAATTTATCAAAGGCTCTCCCCCATCTATGGAGATAAGCTATGATTTCTCCTTAAATCTATTAATAAGGTGAATGATTAATATATTTCCTAACGCTCAGCCCATCTATACTTTTCTGGCATAAACTTACTTGGTCATAGTGAATTATTTTCTTACTGTGATGTTAGAGTCTATTTGCTGACATTTTATTTAGAATTTTTGCATAAATATTCACAAATAATGCTAGCCTATAATTTTTTTCTCTTTATTGTTGTCTTTATAGATTTGGGTATCAATATTATACTTGCTTCTTTTTAAAAATTGGGAAGTTTTCCTTCATTTGCTCTGAAACAATTTATATAATATTGGGACTATCTGGTCTCTAAAGATACTCAATGATAATTTCAAACAAGAACAAAAACAAAAATTAGATTATTCTGTACATATATATCAACACTATTTTTCATTTAAAAGTTCAAAAAGTTGGTTTTCTTCAAAAAGTTCGTTTTACTTGCTGTGTAGTATTTCTTCATAAAGATATACTAAGATTGCTGGACATTGGCTTGTTTTCAGTTTCATGCTATTTCAGTTTTACTTTTTTTTGTTAGCTGAGCCATCCTGCCACCTGTTGGCAGCTCAGCAGCAGCTCAGCTCGGGCAGGGAATCGAACTGCTAGTTGCTCAGAGTTTGCACTCTTGAGTGAGCTCTTAACCAACCACTTGGCCAGCCCCAGTTTCATGCTATTTCAGACAATATTTTCAAAGAACATTTCCAAACATATCTGTTTGCACATTTGTAGAAGTTCTGAGGATGAATTCCTTGATCAAAAAAAGAGTGCCTATTCAAAAAAGAGCTGATCCTCTAAAAAGAATATGTGAAGTATAAGACAGCTGAATTTTATAGAAAACAAGAGGAAGAGTAATGGTGTTAAGGATTTTTCAAATTGTTTATTCCATGGGTTTTCAGAAATGAACTTGAAGTATTTTTTTTATTAAAAAGATTTATATAACATGAACTGGGAATCTATTATCAAAAACAGATTTGTAAAAAAATACTGCTTTTTAGCTGGGATTTATTAATGACAAAAAAAATTTATAATTAATGTTCAAATTTTTTTTAGGTTAAAGATTGGCTCTCAAAAGTAAAAACCCAAATGCTTTTTGAGACACCCCTGTAAAATACACCTTACCAATCTGGAGGATGTATCAGCTGCAGAAAGGGTGAGTTATTTTGCTAGCTTGAACTTGGAAGGCATCGTGTTCCTCATAACATTTTGAAAAGTAACTATGGGAACTTTTTACACATTTCAGTTGAACAGATGTGTAATTTTTTTCTGTCCAGTTGTGGTTGTTATCGTGTTTAAGTAAACGTACTTCTTGCTTACATGTGTTTTCTGTGTTATGTGAGAGCTCTGGGGACCCACACCTGACTGAGTTTAACTTGCTTAGCAAGTTTCCACCCAAGCAGATTTGGTTTGATTCACAGGTCAACTGGAACAAATATTTCGCCTTTTAAGTACCCTCATAAAATCAGTTTGTATCTACAGCGATTGAAATGGTCTATTTATTTGTTTTTAATAGATAAAAATATACTTTTAATAACAACAGTTTCCTTAAGGGATCCAGAAAGGTAACTTCTTTTTTGGAATGGTGTCAACATTTGACTTAGCACAGGTTCAGGAAATAAAGTATATCATAATTATTTGACATAACCATAACTGAAAATATCTAAGAAGTTGCTTAACTTTTCTCATGTTAAGAACAGAGCATTTAGAATCAGTGACAGCCATATTATATTTCAATGTTAACTATATTGTAATAAGACCAATTTACGAGTGAATAAGGTGGAAATATTGTAACTAAATATATTTTGAAGGATCAGATGACTTTCTCCCTACTAGACAAAAGCTCCTTGTGAGGGCATGTTGATTTTTCATCTCTGTAAGCTCAGAGCACCTCAGGTAGTATTTGACACAAAAGAATTACAACTTCATAATCTCCAGCCTCAAATAGACTCTCAGCATTGCTTATCAAGGCTTTTACTTAAAGTCATAATTGGCCTTATTCCAGAAAGGCTATAAGGCAGCCGTTACTTTCAATCAGCTTTTCCTCTCAGTCCCTGTAACTATTTCAAACATTTAGGCTTCTCTACTCAACCCCACTTTCTTCAATTTTCTCTAATAAAAAAATGTTTTTGTTGTTTTAAATTTGAGCCCTTCAAGCATAATCTCAACTCTCTACCCACCCACCCCCCCCAAAACACACACACAATTGTTTTCACACCCGCACTTCCTGTTAAGTCAACTTCTCCACTATTGTCCATGATCCAACTCCGTCCTGGTTGCTCCAAGGTCTTACTTCATTTTTCTCCTCTTCCCCTCGCCCCAGTCTCTTCACTTTTCCTCCTTACTGCCTGATCTTTCCTAACTATCCCTACAGTGTTTCACCAAACTATATTTACCAGATAGAATAAAAAACCATTCTTTCCCCTGAATTTCTGACACCCTAGGGTTTAGCTAAGTTGTTCAGGTCATTCCTTGGGACATGTTATTCACATTCATTCAACACACCTTTTTCTCCATTAAATCATGAGAATTCATTTAATCTCAAATTTTCCAGGCATTATATCAGAAAGATAAATGAGCTCTGTAGTCCTTGCCTCAAAGAATTCCAATCGAGTAAACGAGGCAGCCACACAAACGGTACTGATAAAGTTGCGAGGGAAGCCAAGGAGAGGAGTGTACAGGGTGTTAGGTTAAGAGGAGTATCCACCTCACCGACCGAAATCCACACTTTTTAGGGTTTAGAGCCATAGATAGAAAGTTGATGCTGGGTGAGTTCACCTCTGGAAATTACTGTTTCTATTTTGGACTCCAGTTCTTGATATTTGTTTAATAAATCCACACTGGGAAACACCACTGTATTTTAATAAGTAATCATAATTATTTTAAGTAGTAAAAAAAACCATATATATATATATATATATATATGTCAATCATTGCTATTTAAAATTTCTACAGGTCATGTACTACCTTTTTTTTTTTTTTTAATTTGGGGTTTTGGGGGATGGGAACAGCACTGGGGAATTGGGGGAAGGGGAACAGACAAGTTGCTGTCGTTTTGTTCTTCAGTCTAGTTGTGGAGGATGTTGCTTCACTGGCCCAAGTTGGCACCATCATTGCACTCTTCCCGGGCGAGGCAGATCAGTCGCTGGCTTCTGGACGGGTGCTCACTGTGGCTGCTGGCTGCTCACACTGGTTGCTGGTTACATACGGTAGCCCATGGCAACCCACTGCCACAGGGGTTGCAGCCTACGCCGTCGCCAGCGACTCATGGCAGCCCAGCTCCAGGTTGAGCTGTTGTTCAGCATCTTAGCTGTGGAGGGCAGTGTCACTGGCCCTCATATGTGGGATCCGAACCGGGGCCCTCTGGTGTCCCAAGCCAGTTCTTAACCATCGCGCCACTCGGCCGGCCCAATTAAAGCTTCTTAAATGGAAAACGAAGCAATAGGCTATTAGAAGTGTTCCCTGATTTCCTGGAAAACAGTATGGAATAGAGGATTTGGAGTCAAACAAGCTTCGGTTCAAGTGCTGGCTCTACGTGCTGATTTAGCCAAGTTACTTCATGTCTCTAAGCCTTCATGCCCTCTTTCTCAATGCAGATAAAACAGTGGGCCCCACAGAGGTTGAGTTTGTTTGGAGAACTAAGTGAAATAATGTAGACACAGCAATTAGCACTATGCTGTAGCACAAAGTACATACTCAATAGAAGGTAGTTACATCATCCTGAACATTGAGGAAGTTCTTGGCAGAGAAAATATAATACTCTTCAGTGCAAATACAATGACAGTTCACTGTCACAGGTGCACCGCCTTCCAGGGCCTGGACCCAGCAGACCTCACTCTCACCTTGTCCTTGCTCTACTGCTGCTCGGGGAGCCTGCTTTCCTGCACCTCCGCCTCCCCTGCACCACCACCACCACCTTCCGGCCGGGAGCCTCTGTATTCAGGGCATTGTCCACTCCTTCCAGGACAAGTGAAGATGAGCCAGGAATCCCAGCTTAGATGTCAGGACACATGTCCTCATAGAAAAGCATTGTTAGACATGGTGGTTAGGGTCCTTAGTAAAATGACTTATGGGTACATTGGCTTCTTTGGCCATATCTGGAAATCCAAACCCCTACGTCTAAAATTGTTTCTATGGGAAACTATGTTCCAAGTGCCTAACAACTGACTTAGAAATGAACTATTGGAACGCAACTCGTTTGGGGACTGTCTGTAGGTCAGCATTCATAAGTCATTGTCAATGAAAAAGGAAATGACATTTCTTCTGCTCTTACTGAAACATACTGCACATACAGTTCCATAACTGTTGCTTGAGGACACCAAGCCATCTAAAGTTGTTTAAAATAGCAGCCCCATAAACCTATCAGATTGAACTGATGTTCTGGGCCTGAGTATATTTGAGCTACTAACTCCAGCAGTTCAGATGTTCTTGTTAGGTGTCTTTTAGACATTTTTAGAGTTTAATATTTTTAAGGAAGGCAGAGAAGCCTTTCCTTTTGCAGCGCTCCCCTTGTGGTTATGTAACTGCTGTGCTGAAGCAGCTCCCCTCCCCACCCCTCCCCTCGTCTCTGCGCAGCTCCTCTGCCCATGTATGGTAACTGTTCCACAGCACTTCTCAGTGCTGAAGTGAGCAAGTCGAACCCTTATTAGGATCCAAGCTTAAAAGTTAAACAGCTCAGGGGCTAAGATTAAGCATCTCCCATTTGTAGAATCTGGTAGATACCAAATGGATCAATCAAACTGGGAGTGGGACAGAGTTATTCAGGGAGGAAGAGGTATGAATGTAAATGTTGTGTATGAGGTTGGTGTTCTAACAGAAAGCCAATTACCTGCCCTGTTTTAAATTCATCCTGTCACGAGTCCCAAGAGAGCGTTTCTAACTCTCTTATGTTTCCATTTTGTGGAATTACCACAAAGAGCATTAGGTATGTGTCTTCTTTCCTTTCTCTTCTCTTTTTTATATCCTTGTGTACGTAGAGAAAAGCAACTTCCATTGTACTCTTTGCTATTTGTTCCAGGTTTACACGCAGTCCCTGAGTCACTCTCTCTCTTTTAAAGTAATTTTTCTAAGAGGGAGAAGAAAAGAGCAGAACTAGGCTGACTGTTAATTCTCTCTTTCCACCCCCTTGACAAGGCCAGTTCTCAAAAAGGGTAGGATATAAGCATTTCATATATCACAATAGGCTTATGAAGATACCTCACCCAGACAGTTGGCCTTGTTCTAAGTGATAGTTGTAACTTTTTGAGAATTATGTAAATTAAGCAAGGTGGATTTTTTTTTTTCTACAAAAGAAATTCTTGGAACACCAGAGATCTCCATTCACTTTTGAAATGCCTCCTTTATACCATTCACAAAGATAAATAACAAGGTCCAAGTCCTGAAGATAGTCTGGGTGTAGAAACAGAACTGGAAATAGATACATATCAATAAGTACTGTAGTAAAGCTTTTCAGAGGGTGCTGGGAGTCCACGTGAAAGAGGAACTGTCCAGGGGTGCTCAAAGGGCTTCACAGAGAAAAAGATGGTTAGTCGGGGCTGAGTCCTAAAGGTAAAGGGTTCGGAGCAAGACAGATGAGCATGAGAAAGGCCAGACAGGCCAGAGATTCCGCGAGATGATGATCTGAGGATCCTCCCAGTCTCCCTAACTTTTAGGAAGTGAGTGAGGGGGTGACTGCTGGTACTTTAATTCACTCCTGCATTCAACAAATATTTATTGGGTACTTATTAGGTGTCAGGGGTTACAGTGGTAAACAAGTTCTCATGAAAATTATGGCGTAGTGTGGAAGTCACTGAACAAAATACTATATGTATACAATAGCAATTGTAGTAAGTACCATGACTGAAAATGCAGGGTGCTGAGAGTTTACCCGAGGGACCTATTAGATTGGCGTGGGATTGGTGTGTGGGTGTGCAGGTATCAGAGAAGAAAATGACATTAAAAACAAGACCTAAAGCTTCATGGAGGCAGAGGGACCAGGGTGAGTGAAGATGTCCCATGGGGAAACACAGGGCTTTAATGGAGGAGGGCAGAGTCAATGAGACAGGGCCCCGTTTCCAGGAAAGGGAGTCGGTTGTAGGGGAACCAGAGAACTAGACAGATCCTTCAGGGTTTGTAGGAACTGTCACAGACCTGAGACTCTGGACAATGGGAAGCTAT